TTAAATTTTACAAGCGCTCCTGGTAATTTCATATATTCTAAAGCAGCTTCTAATTCACCATTAGAAACATCACATCTCTCAGTTTCACTACGAACAATTTTAGCTTTTTCCTCTGAATATAAAGATGCAGATTCATGAACTGATAATGGAATAAGTCGTTGGAAAATATCTTGACCAATTACTTTTTGCATCTCATTAGCACCATATAAATCTTGTATTGGCATTGGCTTAACTGCATTTAATTTATCTATTGGTGGAATAACACTTTCCTGTGGAACAACTTCGTGATATATAATATCATTATCCTTCGTAGAAGAATTTTTTTTCTCCGTGATAAGTGCAAGATTTGACTTTGTGAGTTCTTGTAATGAAATTGCAGTATCAGGAGAAAGAGTTGGAGTCACAGTTGGTGTGAAGGCCGACACAAAATTGTTGGAAAGTTTATTTGCTTCCTTAGCCAAAGATTCTGCAATATTAAGGCGACAAACACATTCACCATATTTGCTTTCTTTTTCACAAGCTAGAGATTTTTGATATTGAGCAATAGACGTAAGATATTTATGTTTTATCTAAAACAAAATCGAAATAATGTGTTAAAACTTAATTTTGATACAAAATTTTCATATATTGTGATATACTTATGCTGTACCTGACAAACTGTCAGCCAACTCCTGTCAAATACGCTTCGACTTATAAGATCACCCATATTTTCGACAATGTTTCCATAGGACCATCCAGCTTGAGCAGCTAATTTAGCTATTAAACCAGGCTTATTTTTATTCCCTAAACTCTGTTCTAAGAAACACTCTTGAGATTGTGTAAGCATTAGTTGTGTAAGCAATTTCACAGTATCACGACTCAAATCGGTTGAAGGAGCATGCAAAAAGTTATCATTTATATATGTGTATCTCTCAGCAGATGCTTGAAAAAAATTGAAAGCACGTTTTAGACCTTCAGGTTCGGATCGGTTTTGAGAAGCAGCAATTGCCGACAAGACAGAGGCAATATTAAAAATTACGCTCGCTTTTTCATATGCAAGTGAAAACTGAGAAGTGGCTTTATGTGTAAAGGCATCATACCTGAAAAAATTTATGATAATTAATATACAAAAAAATGTGTCATAAAATTTTAAAAATAAAAGAATTTACTTAATACCAAGTAAAAGAGACTCTAATATGGTTCTCATCGACAGGAAACCTTAAATCAAGTAACTCTAACTGGCTATAATATCGATACAATAAATCTCTTCCAGTCACGTCTTTACCAGCACCTCGCATATCCTGTCTTAGACGGTGAATTGCATTGGCTTCGTCTGCATATTTTTCTGGATCCTCTTGATATGTTGTTTGAATATATCTTTTAAGGGGGCTTGCCCAGTCAACCTCGTCTGTTCTTTTTGCTGGAACATAAATTGTTGGACTTTGATTCATTTTGATAAACCTTTTTTTTTTTTCGTCTATAAAATGTAAAATATACCAAAGCTTTATACAAATAGTTGGTCACAGTTTCGTTTATTGCGCCACATTACTGCGCAGAGTGGACACGCATAATAAATAAAGTATGTGCAACACAGTGTAACCAATTATCAATTATGTATTAAATACATTAGTTTGTAAAATCAGTTTATATTTAAAAAAATGCGACCAACGTTTTTCTAATTTTAAATAAGGTAAAGAAAATAAAACCTAACAAGCAAACTAAGATTCATGATTAATCTAAATTATTTCAAGAACCTTTTTATTTGTTCTCTTTAACGTGATAGGTGTTCAATTTCAACTTTAGCAAAGGTGGCTTCGATTCTATTAAGAAAAATATATCTCAATTAATTATAAGCAATTGTAAAACAATAAAAACTATATGTTTATAACTAAGCTTATTATTGATCTACCTTTTCTCTAAAACTACCATCGATACTAATTAATTTGTCATT